TGGTGGCGAGGATGTGGTGAAAAAGGAACTCTCCTGCACTGCTGGTGGGAATGCAAACTAGTACAACCACTATGGAAAACTGTTTGGAGGTTCTTCAAACTGCTAAACATGGAGTTTCCATATGACCCAGCAATCCCACTCCTAGGTATTTACCCAAAAGACACAAAAACACTGATTCAAAAAGATATCTGTACCCCTATGTTTATTGCTGCTTTATTCACAGTTGGAAAGACATGGAAACAGCCCAAATGCCCAAAAATGGATGACTGGATTCAAAAGATGTGGTACATATACACAATGGACTATTACTCAGCAACCAAAATATAATAATAATAATAATAAACACACGACTTTTGCAGCAACATGGATGGAGCTGGTAAAGATCATGCTTAGTGAAATAAGCCAGAAAGAAAAGGAAAAATACCGGATGGTTTCACTCATAGCAGGAATATAATGGAACAGGCAAGAAAATAATGATAATGATGAACAGCTACATACCAGAGACATTTTGTGGGGGTGGAGTGGGGAATGGGATCAAAAACAGTGGGGGGAGAGAAATGCACTGGACTATGGTGATGGCACATGGGTGATTTGGTGATGGGAAACCTGAGGGGACTGCAACTGAGATGGGAAAATGCACAAAAATATGTAAAAATAAAATATTATTTTAAAAAATGTACATTGCTTCTGAGGTTCTCATCAGTAAAGTCAGATCTTTGAAAGCCTTAATGTATGTCATGAGTCTCATCTTTCACTGTTACATATTTAGTTAGCCCACTTAACAGCAGACCAAAAAGTAGACTGTTAATAAGTCTATAAAGAGAGGTACTTTGTGAATGTGGTGTGAGTTAAATAAAAGTTATTGCACACCTTGATCAAGATTTAATTCTCAGTGCATCCTGCTGAACACATTTCCAGCAGTTTGGCAAAATGCCCAGAGATGAACAGCAGCCAGTAATGAGAGGAAAGAATATGGTCAACCCAAATTGTAAAGTCTCCCCCCAGTGGAGACTTCAAACAACAGTATGGGGAAAGCATTGCAGCTTCTGTGAGACTGGCCCCTAATAAGCTAAGCAGTGCTTGCTCCTCACAAAGAGTAAATAAGATCTTTACTTCAACTTGAACACCCAATAATCACCTGTGCTTGTTTGCTCTTAATGTATTCATAAATGTGATGGCTATTTTTGGAAGAAAAGGACTTACAGGTAAAACAAAACCAGTATAATTTTTCTAGTATTAATTTTGTAGAAATAACAGTATTCTCAAAGAGCCCAGTATTTATTTTATCCATGAGCAGGTGTGTATACTTCCAGAAATAAACAGCAGTACATTCCTTGTCAGTAAATTACACTTAAGCAGAGTTTTGATATGAATTTAGTCACTTACCAAATGAACCACCCTTTCATCAGCATTGCCAACTAATATCTACTCTGCAAATTTTTCTTTCAAAAACTACCGAGTATTAGGTAATTTATAATACATTAAGTTCAAAGTACAAATGGGTCCTCTCCATTCTTAATACTTATTTTCTTGACATCTGTATAATTAGTCGAATACTCAGCCTGTATTATCTGTAACTCTCAGCAAATACTTTACAGATGTTACTCACATTTAACAAAGGTTGGGTGTCAAAAATATTAAAGACATTTAATTAAAACATCTGTTGCTTTCTGCTAATCATCCATTATTAAATGGTAAAGTATATTAAGAGACGACAAATACCCAATTTCAATTTAAAAAACAGCTTTTTTAAACGGTAACATCGTGTCTCGCAATTTTCTTTTTGGTTATCACAAGCTAAAAAGGGGGGTAGTGAGAGAAAGTAGTGGGGTGGAGGGGGAAGGCTGTTCCTCTGGGACAATTTCAGCCTGAAGTGAGACTCAGGAAAAAAGCTCCCTCAAATGTTTAAGAAAAATGATTCATTTAAAAAAAACCAACAGTTGGCCTCCAGAACAAAAATGTTTCACCAGACTTGCTCAATCAAGCACCTTAATTTTTTCTAATGTTTATTTAATCTAGAATGTAACAATTCATTTTGAAACTCCAAGTGAAAAAGGAATTGATTGGCAGCAATTAGAAAGGGAAACAGGGACTGACACACATGCGCACGCGCACCCACACCCACACCCCTTTGAGTATTTTTCTGTAGATATTTCCTGTGCAGTCTCTATATGGACAAAGCAGGGCAATTAAAAGTGTTACCATCTGCATATTATGTAACCCTAGTCTAAATTAAAAGAAACATGGTCCTTAAAGAGTAACACATTTGCAAACATTTAAACATATAGCTAAGTACCTAATAGATTTCAGCTACAAATGACCTCAAAATGACACAAACCACAAAAGTTCTTTGTTTACCGTAGTAAGGCCTCAGAAGACATGACTATAAACAGGCCTGACACTTTAGTATAACTGCACAGTAGATGCCTTAAATACGCACACGTACAGGAGACCGGCTGTTACACCTTTCTACTGCAACAGTCCCGCACTGACAGCAGTGTTACCTTACCTACTAGTCAACACAAGTTTCGAAGGATCATTTGAAAGATTTTATAAGAAGCAATGGCTGCTAAATCATGCCCCAATTGAAGAACACTGCAAGGCACCCCAAACGTTCGGAGCCGCATTACAAGAAGACCAATTCAGGGAGCACAAAGTAAAATTCCAACAATTCCCAAGGCGTATGAAAGTATAAAACACGGTTAGCCTGACCTTTACAGGCTGTTTATAAGCAATGCGGAGAATTTTCTGAGCTCCCTGTCAGTTTTCGATTCCCTTCCTCACCTGCTCCCAAACACTCCTTAACGCAAACACATACCCCAAAGGTTGGAAGTTTGCTGGATGCAATCTCGAGTTTGTAATCCCAGAAACTGGTGAGACTGAGACTCAACTCCCAATAGTGTTTTAGGTCCTTCTGAAATAAATATCCCAAACCAGTCCGCATCCTGCTACCCCTTATGCTCCCAGGACTCCCTCTAGGCCCTCCCCCAACCACACCCCCGCCCCCCCAACAAAGGCCCTGGCACCCTCTAGGTGCCGGATAAACGTACCCAGGATCGGAGAGCACTGCGAACGCCTCCGGAGCAACGTGTGCTCGGCCCACCACCACTTTGCCCAAACAACTGGAGTCTCGAGGCACGGAAGTAGCAGCAGTAGTTACAGAAAGCCGCCTCCGCCAGGAACTCCGAGCACGAGAGAAAGCCAGAAGCCGGCAGAATGGCCCCCTCCCGAGACTGACCCCGGAGGTGTCAGTCACAGCAACACCAACCCCCCGCGCGGCTCTCCATTCACGCTTTACCAACACTCCCGCCGCAGAGGGTGCCCGCGCCCCACGCCCAGAGGGGCCCCCCGGTCCCACCTGCCCAGCTGGGGCCGCGCCAAGAGAGCGCATGGAGCGAAGCAGGCGCGGCGCGTCGGCCGGCAGCATGGGCCAGACACGTTGCCGCGCTCCGGCTGGCCGGACCGCAGCGCCAGAGCCCGGCTCTGGGCAATGCGCGCCCCTTCTGCGCCGGCAGAG